CCTTCCATGCGCGAGGGGCGTGATCGGCGCCTCTTCACGGCTGGAAGCCGTGTGAATAGGCCGCACTGGGAGGCCTTCCGGCGGGAGGGCAAGGCGCACAAGCTGTGGCTGATGCATTGGCTCGTCGAGGAGAGCAGCGAGCTCGAGAGGGCGGTCGTGCGCGGCCGCGCCGGGGGAGGGGCCGGGAGCGCGGCGAGGCGGCTGGGTGGCGCCGGCATGGCGGCCGGGGGGAGGCGGGCAGACGTCTGAGTCCCGGCAGAAAGAGTGATGTACATTCATGTAATCGAAGTTTTCAAACTAAGGAAGCTGTCAATCCGTTGTAAGACAGGAGCTTTCGCCGCACTTGTGGCCACGCGCAGAAACATCAATCCGCTGCTCGCAACATGCTGCGCTGTCGCTGTCGCGCACTCCCGAGACCCACACTCCTTCATGAACCGGCCACAGTTCTGGGAGGAGTTCATCACATCTAGGCGAAGCGAGGAATGTGAGGACGGCATAAACAAAGAGAACATCTCGCGGAGAGATGGGCGACGCACGAACACAGAGGCACATTCCGGCGAGCAAATTCTTTATGCTTGGTGTGCCGGTGATAGTACTAGCACGCGCCAGTTCGCACCTGTGTCGAGCCTGTGTGCTGTGAGAGAGATTTTGTCTAAATTCTTTATGCTCGCTCGTCTTGTAATGTCGGCCGCCATCACCGACCCCCATCTGCCCACTCTCGCTCAGCCCGACAGCGACCCGCGTATCTGGCTCGAGGACGTCACGGGCGAGGAGGCCCTTGCATGGGTCAAGGCACGAAACGCAGCAGCGCTCTCCAGCTTTGGTGCGATAGCCCTCGCCCTCGCCTCACGCCACTTCTGCCACGCCGCTGGCCTCACGCCACTTCTGCCTTGCCGCTGGCCTCACGCCACTGCAGCACCGCCACCTACGCCACCTCCGCCGCAGGCAACCCGTCCGACTCGGCCACGTACTCTCGGATCCTGGAGATCCTGGACTCGAAGGCAAAGATCCCGTACATCGGCCGCGTGCTGAACGGCCTCTACTACAACTTTTGGCAGGACGAGACGCACGTCCGCGGCATCTGGCGGCGGTGCACCCTCGACGAGTA